AAATAGGATGCTGGGCTCACCCCAAGGTATGGCCACAAACGCCCCTCTAACCCTGGTTGCTCATCTTTTCCTGCTGATGCTGCTAAAGGGTCGAGGTGGAGTTGCTTCATTTAGCTCAATGCAAACCATCCTCATGACTTGAGAAACCAATTCAATACTGACAGCCATGCAGTAACTCCATCTTCTCATGCAAAGACAGGGTACCAAATCATCCTTATATACGCCTTTAAATCGAGTGTAAAACCCTTATGATTACATTTCCCACAACTTTCAACTGTATTTCTGAATCCATTAACTTTCTCTTGTTGCTAGCAAATGAACTTCCTATAGTCAGCACATTTCCCACAATTTGCACATTTTTTTCAGAAATATTTAGAAAACATCTCCATTGTCTGCTATGGGCAAATGAGGCAGGTACACAGGGGTTCCTGTACAAGGTGCCAAGCACAGCCCCTTTAGGGAGTGTGTTTCTCCTCCGTAATTATGTTCTTAGGGAGTCTTCTCAAATAGGGTTTATTAACCTGTTTCCATGGATGGATTTTAGGGTATCCTTATGCTCTCTGGCATTGTACACACAATTTTGAACATGGGGAATATTTGAAAGAGTTCTTAATAGTAGTTGTCAAACTTTAGCGTGCACAGAATACCCAGTAAGGCTACTGAACCGTTTTCACCAGCGTCTCCAAAAACAAGGTTGAGAATCACTGCTTGAGTGGGTAACACCCAGAAATATCTTAGGGATTGGTACCCAAGCAAACACAGAAGTAACATCCTCCTCTCAAAGACTCTGTTGATAAATGAAGAAGATTCACAATGACCACCAGACTTGCTACTTTGAATGTACCATACTGTTGCTGTTATAAAAGTATGACAAACAATGGATATTTGAAATGTAATTTATATAGTAGTCCCTAGGGATGTATAAATGAAACTTACTCTCTGATGTAAACCAATCATACAGATTACTACAGGCTCACATTTCCTAGACCAGACTGATATTAAACAGGAGAAATAATCACCAGAGCAGAAGGACGATGTATTGAAAATGCCACCCTCCCCACATCTCTTCCTGTTTCTTCAGGCTCCCATGGTTCCAGGCCATCTGTGGGAAGTATGATGAGGCCTGAGGAAAATCCCCCTTGTTACTTCCAAGGCTGGAGAGAATTCCAGGGGAATTTGTAACAGAAACCCACCCATCCACAAAAGGAAGTTTCCACTTAGAACCTTTCAACCATGTTCACCAGTCTGTCTATTTGAAAATACCCATGGAAAGTGCATTTACACTTGAAATGAAACTCATGCTAGGTCACCTTAGAGCCTGCCATTGGCTGCTAAGGTCCTCTTGACGCATCATCAAATGTATGTTCCTCACAACTAAACATCATTTACAATGTTATTCATTAATTTTGCGTAACCAGGTGGAATGGGAAATGCCTAGAGGTTACACATCTGTGACCTGCATGGGAATCTTCACACGAAAAGGCAATCAAATTAACTTGTTACTCCACTGTTGAAGGAAGTTAGAGGTGAGAATTTTTCTCTTTGGGGGTTTTTCCTCTAGTGATCAGGAAAGGGCTTTCCAGCAGCCCAAGCATACACAGAATGCAGGATACTGGTATCGCCTGTAGACGTTTGAAAAGTTTTCTCATTACATTAGATTTAAATCCTTATACTAATCTTTTGGGCCATGTTTACAGTGGCCACTTAGAGCCATGCCCCGCAGGTGTAGCAACATCATGCTCAAAATGCAAAGCCCTTGTTCATGACTCGCCACGTGCTACCCAACTGAGCACCTTCCTGCTTTGAGAATGAAAGCATCCACTTGAGAAACTCCCACGTCACAGGGCTACATTCTGCGAGTTCGCCACTTGCAGGGGCATCAAGTCAGCTAACCTCTCTGAGCCTCAGTTTCCTCAGCCGTCAATGTAAACGTGTCAAACTCTTTAAATAAAACAGAGTGGTTGTGAGGATGAAATGAGACATAATGAATTTAAGAGCAACCTAGAAGATGACCTGCTCAGTAAAGGTTTGGAGAATCTGAATAACAACTTCTTCATGTAAATGGTTAGCTACTCTAGGCCTCTGCGTCCTGAGGGGAGAGAGGAATGATAAGGCACGTTGAGAAATGCATATGTATTCAGCCCTGTAGGCCACAGTCAGGCCAAGTCTAAGGTGAACAAAGGTCACAGAACTATCTTTGACATTTCCAACTCTGCACTGGCTCTCGCATCCAGCAACAGAGTCCTGTCCATGTTGCTGCATCACCTTTGACCGCTGGGGAAAGAAAAGCCCCGAGGTCCTGCTCCCAGCTGCCTTACCGTCATGATGAGCTTCTCCACGCAGTCGGGCGCCACGCTGTGGAGGTGGGTGAGGTGCAGCTGGAGGTGGATCTTGTTGTTGAGCATGTCCTGGCACAGGGGGCAGCGGAGCATGGGCTGCACCGAGTGCTGCGTCATGGCGTGCACCCGCAGCCGGTTGACATCGGCGTTGCTGTACTTGCAGTAGGGACACTGGTACATCTGTGGGGAACACACAGCCACCCCTCCGGCTGAATCTTCAGTTCCCACCGCAACTGTGTCCGCCCCAAGCCCGCCCACCCGAGACTCCACTCCCCCCCTTCCCCCCAGTTATGTGAAACACTCCCCCACCAGCACAGCCCCTTCTGGCCTCACCTGCTCCGGTTTGGTCTCCTCTGATGTTTTTGGTCGCTTTGAAGAGAGAGGAGACTCTGAGCTACCTGGGAAGGAGATGCGTTTGGAGGTTGCAGGAGAATCTGTCAGCTCCTTCTCTGCTTGGCTTGATGATGCTGGAAGAAAAAGCAGAAGATGTAATACAGCAGCCAGACCAGGCCAGCTCCCAGAGGGTTTGCGTTGGGTGAAAATCAACATTCATTTATAGCACAGGATTTTCTTGAAACACCAAAATTAAAGTAGGATGAGCATCCGGACTGATTTATCAGGCATGCTAGAAAAGAAGCAAGTGTTTCTTTTTGTCCCCCATGAATTTCTGTCACTACACAACTTTAACAACTGAACACTAAGAAAAAAAGGTACAGAAATGGACTAAAAGGCTCTGAGTTGGATTAAGCTACATTCAGTCTATTCTGACCTCCCCCAATCAAGACACAATCTGCTGGCTTATGAGGGTGGGTGGGAAAGTCTCACCAATTGCTTTGCCAACCACGAGTCAACCCAAGTACCAGACAGACTCTGCTTTCATGGATGTAATAGATGATGTGCTTCCAACTTTGTTGTCACAGCTCTTGAAATCACAGCACAGCACAGCACATCACAGGAGACATGATAAATGGGACGGACCCGAGAAAGGTTTACACGGATATCTGCATACAAATGCATGCAAAAAAGTCAAGTGTGGCTTCAGCAACTTGCTTCTGGGGAAGAAGTAACTGAAGAGTGGAACTAGATAGGGCGTGACTCCAACTTCTAATCGAGCCAGTGCTCCAGACACAAGAGTTTATTCAGAGTGGGTGGTTCAGAGGGAGAGTGTCCTCTCCGCTTGCCAGAAACATGCCCTCTGCACCCCACTCCACCAAAACAACAAAACACCAACGAGGAAGGAGAGTCACATGAGAGTGAAGCAGCAAGCAGTGAGCGTGGAAGTGTTGGCGGAAGGAGTTCTCTGAAGCATGGAAAGGGATCTGGAAGATTGTGATGAGAAAACAGCTGGGCTGAAAGGGTTTTAACAAGGATGAATAAGCAGGGCTCCTCCAGTATAAACACAAATCTCCAAATGGTCAGATGTGGTCATTCCAAAACCTGGTCAGTATCTTAAGGCTGGCTCTCTCACTTGTTTTGGATGGGAACTCCATTTTTCAGCATTTTGCTACAAGTGGTGAGAAGAAAAATCCTGAAAATGGTAGTGAGACAGTACATACCCACTGCCCTCCCTACCTCACTGAAAAATCATTTGACTCAGCACTGAGGTCACTGGTTTAGAAAGCCTCATGTTTACTCTTCGGTCAAACTGCTTTCTGTCTCATCCAGCCTAGTTCCCTAGCGTGTGTTTCCAGCCTTGAAATCTGTTCTGACATGGATACCCAAGATGCTGTCATTACAGGTGTGTGCTTTAATAAACAGTTGTAAAAAATCAATTTTATTCATTAAAATCGTAAGGCCACACAATAATTTTGGAAAATAAAAATGCAAAATGCAGGAAATATTCCAGGAAGTGGATGCTCTTCCCAGAATGCACATCTTCTGATCTTTAACCCCAGTATCTTGGTAACCTGGTCTACATAAGTTTGTAGAACATCTATTATTTAAAAAGTACAAGGACAAGCATATTACACACGGACCCCTCCTCCTCCCAGCACACATTCATAACAGTACTTTAATCTGTCTCGAATCGACTTCAAACCCATTTTCTTCTTAATGGGAGTTATTCATTTTCACTTGAAAGGTAATACATGACGGCTGGATATTTAATATGATGGACTGGCTACCGATTAACTAGGTGCTGTATGTGACATTCTAGTCTGGTTCCCACGGCCCACTTCCCATCTCCCAGCCCCCGGCAGACCTGATCCCGCGAAACCTTGCGTCGCAGGTTTTAGACCTCGTAGTGTGATGGGCCCCCTGCCTGAACACTCCCACAATAGGAGTCTTTTAATTAATGTTTTGGGGATGTAAGATCTTCCTGTCCCCAGAAGGTTTCTTATTCTCCATCGTTTTTCATTTTTGCTTAGTGGTTGTCTTCTATATGTTAGCTCTTCTATAGCTTTTCAAAGGCATTCTAAAGATGGGGTGGGTGGAGACGTTAGATGATACTTCAGATGCTTATTTGTTAGAGCCATCCTCCACCTTCCCCATTTCCACCTCCAATCTGTAGGATTAGGTTAGGTTCAGGGCTTACAGTTAGGAAAGAGCTGCTCTCTGCTCCCCCTTCCCCTAGGGGCAAGCCAAGATGCAGATCCTATTCTAAACACCCATCCCCGTCTTTTTGTTAGTCTGCCTGACCGGAAACAACACTTGCTTTTACAGGACCGTGACACTGCCTTGTCAATGCCCTCAACCTGCCTCCTACCCCGCCTCTTCAGAATGATTTTCAACCGTGCAGTTGCTCAGCAGTGTGGATGAACGAGCGCGGAGGCTGAGACCGCCCGACTCATCCACTCCCTGGAAACCAAACCCGGTGTAACCCAGTGCAGCATTAGCGTCCTCACAGGACCGGAGTCCACCCTCGTCCTTCAAGGCTGAACGCATGATGAATGGTGACGAGGTTGCAGAGGTGAGAATTCTCGTTTCAGAAGCCACTATTCTTTCCCCCTGCATGGAGAGGGGGGACTTCTATTACCTTTTTTTTTATTTTTCATACTCTCAAATTGCTCTGTAATTCTAAAGCTTCCTTTGTGAGCTCAAGCTAAGAAGCTGTTCTAAAGCGTTTTAAAAAATAAAATCGGCACTTGCTCACTCATTCCTCTTTCTCTGGAGTAACACAACAGCTCTGCTATGATATGAAATACTGCATCCACTGGTGTAAAAACTTCCGGGGCTCATCTCCCTTCTATCTGGGGCAATCTGCATTTTTATTAGATCAGATCTGTCTAGAAGTGGACATTAGCCACCTGCAGCTCGCTAGGCTTCTTCTCTAAAGATAAGGCCGTGCCTTTCCTATATCGGAGTCTGTTAACACCCAGTTACAATCCCATTGTGCTTCCCTGGGTGATGTGAGGACTGCTCCAAAGAGTTAGGTTAACGAGGCTGACAGGCCCCTCCTAGCTTGACCCCAGACATTAAAACGTCAATCCCTATGAAAACATGGTACCAGAGATTTTATAAAATTTCTGTAGATGGGTAAACAGTTGCGCAAGTTCTCCATCAGCAGGCTGGAAGAGGGTTTACTACTGACAATGACAGTCTAAGGTTTTCTCAAGCTTCTTCTCTCTGAACTTCAAAAGGGCCAGACTCCCAAAATCAATTCCTACTTTAGTTCTGTCACTAGCATACATTGTAGGCATAAGTAAATGAGGTTGTACGAATACCAAGAGGGAAAGTACTGTGGTTTTCTTTTTTGAAGACTTTTCGAAACTCTGACTTAAATTCCAAGAGCGATGTCACAGTCTAGAAAACATTATTACTTTTTAAAATTAATTACTGATCAGTTTAAGGCCATTACGACGTCACAGTAGTGAAACACAAATAGATGCGCTCCAGAGACAAGCCATAGTTTAAACAGTGCCTGGAACCACTGGATTATACTGGTAACAACTTCAAGGGTAACTACCTGTAGTGGCTTTTACAATAATGACAAAATGAACTGGAAACAACCTAGATATTTTACAACAGGGCACGGTTAAGTAAACAATGGTACCGCCACTCTATTGAGTATCAGATGACATTACATATGATAGCTATGAAGCAATATGGAAAAATCCTTGAGAAGGTTAATCAGAAAAAAATAAGATAACATATGCATTATAACATGATACAGCTTTGTAAAAAATAGGTATTAGAAAAAAAAGACTGGAAGAAAATGACTGCTGTATTTAGGTGATAGCATCACGGACCATCTCCCCATTTTCTACGTTTGTCATGTAGTTATATTATTTTTAATACTATAATTAAAGAGTTTAGCATTTAAATTCCACTGTCCATGAAAAGGTTGATATTTGGATCCATACTGTGCAAAACATCAGGTGGTATTTTTACTTTGCTGGTTAAAGCAATTTTTCCTCATTTTGGCAGCTATGCCATGTGAAAATATGTGTTAAATCTCAATGAATCTTCCACAGGCAACATGCTGGGCTCCTGGCACTTCAAAGGGTTTAAAAACGTGGCAAGGAATCATGCGAGTGCCATCGATTACGTACTCTGTAAAGCGAGGCAAGAGGGATACTGGGGCAATATCGGGGAAATGCAGGGTCAAACCCCAAGCGCAGCCCGACAGGATGTTAGCTGCGGACTCCTCGCCACGCAAACTTTCTAAGGAGTGGACAAACACTTGCTCAACTTGTCAGAAGTTCAGGTTGCCCCACTGAACTCGCTGGTGAGGCAGGAAAAGGACCGGCATGGCCTGGCTATGGAGTACAGAAAATTCGAAGTCAACTTTCTGGGCCAAAAGCCACCATTCCACCTTAAACTGTGATGGGTTGGTCACTATGTCTGACGAAGCCAAGTACTGAGAGGCAGACCTGATTCATGACTCTCCATTTCATTGTTCCTCTACATTCCAAGCAAAAGAAATTTCATTTCCAAGGGAAAGACACAGTAGTCAGTGCATGGCTTCCTCAGGAAAAACAAAAATCATTTCTGTGACGTCAACTTCCAGATATCCTTTGTTTTTAACATATTTGCTTGGGGGTATTTAACCTCTAAAAATAATTACTTAAAAATTTTCCCCTCTTGTCATATTAATTAGAGGGAGTAGGGAAGAGAAGAGAGCCAATCTGAATTCATGCAAGTTTTGTTTACAATTTTCAAGAAGAGGTTTTATTATGTTCTAAGCATATAGAATAATTAAAACAAGCCTAGTAAGGTTTCAGGTAAGAGGTGACTAACTGTAAAGAACAGGTTAAGGGGACTTCCCTGGTGGCGCAGTGGTTAAGAATCCGCCTGCCAGTGCAGGGGACACAGGTTCGATCCCTGGTCCAGGAAGATCCCACATGCCACAGAGCAGCTAAGCCCGTGTGCCACAACTACTGAGCCTGCACTCTACAGCCTGCAAGCCACAACTACTGAGCCCACGTGCCGCAACTACTGAAGCCCGTGTGCCTACAGCCCGTGCTCTGCAACAAGAGAAGCCACTGCCATGAGAAGCTCACGCGCCACAACAGAAAGTAGCCCCCGCTCACCGCAATTAGAGAAAGCCCATGTGCTGCAACAAAGACCCAACGCAGCCAAAAATAAATAAATAAAAAGTAAATTAAAAAAAAGAAGAATAGGTAAGAACAGTATAATTTAGGGGGCTTATCAAGTGGTCAAGTATGGTAGAAACACAGTCTCTTTAACTTCACCTGATAAAACCACTTTTCCTAGAACAAATTCTCACCCAATCCCAATCCTCACTAATAAACTAAAATCTGAGTCACTGAAATTTTGGTGACAGAAAACTTGAGAGCTGTACTTGCAATACCATGTACTGCCAGCAGACTTAATGCCAACACTTGCCTCATTTCTCACCTAGTGATGTGGTCATACAACTCTGAAGCGAGGGAAGGCAGGGAGTTGCTGCCTCCTGAGAAAGAAAACTGAAGAAAACTTGGAAGTGAAGTAGAAATGGAACCTTAAGGTACACAGTTTTTGGCTTTCCCTAATCATCTGCCAAGACATCAACTTCCCTCCATGACAATCGAAAGTACTGGAAGTTTCAGTTCCATGAGCAAAACTGACTTTCTCATCACTCAACACACCATTGGTGCTGTTGGCATGGTGGACATTCTCTGCCACAGGCCCGCCTTTGGCCAGAGTCCTCCCTTGGGGAGATCCTGGGCATGCGCTGAGCTGTCCACGTTACTGGGAAGTTTCTTCTGCGTTTCTTCTCTTCATGGCATAGTGGCCCTCGGAAGTGGTGTTCACCAAGATGCTGACCCCCCTTCCTTCTGGGGACCCCAAGGTGAGCTCACTGAAGGCCTGGGATGCTGCCTGACATGTCATCCTTGTGGAGCGGCCAAAGGCAGCCTCCAGCCCCACTTCTCAACCATCAGACTCTGAGCTAAAGTACCACTGACAGCCCCTCCATCTAAACTTCCATCTCCCAAACCAGCAACATAATGGAGGAGCCAATTAAATGATTATTAATTCATGCTACTTTCCGTAAGCCAGAGGTTCTCATCGCCTTGTGTTCCGTAAACCAGCTTGCCACCTGCCCCAGAAATTTACAGCAATCTTTTATCTCCACTGACTAAGGAGAAAAAAAAAAAACGTTCACACAGCTCCATACTCAGTGCTTGAGTTGGGATAATGACCCCAGCACGATAGTCACAGAAGCTTCACCATATTGGAAAGTGGTCATTCAGCTCATAATGAAAATGAGATGAAAGGGGCAGTGAGCCCTCTCCATAGCCCCTTCCCCTCAGCTTCTCAGAGGCCCGACACTCCCCTCTAGAAAGCAGAAATGCACAGTTTCCAGAGGGTCAATCTGTGCTCTGGACTCGTGATCCTCTGTGATACTGTCACTGAATGTGGAGCTGCTCTTGGCATCTGCTTGCAATTCCCTCCCCAGAGGAGAGGCTAAGATTTCGTACTCGCATCTCCTGCAGAGCTACTGCACTTCAGAAGTGGCCAGAGAGCTGGCTAAATCCTCTCCCTCCCTACGGAAAGAAGCAGTTCGTTTAAAGGGTCTGCTCGGCTGCCAACTTGGTCGCTAAACATGCACGGCTCTGCCTCTCACCAAGCACTTAAAGATGATTCAAAGAGGAATCGGGGAGTCTGTGCACGGCGAAGGCGCACCCAATGGGGTCTCTACACCCTTACACACCCAGAGTCCAGCCCCATGAGGGTAAGAACCTTCTATTCAAAACACAGTCCTGGTTTCAGTTAAGTGCAGGCTACACTGCTCCTGCATGTCTCTTGAAAGCATTTTGTAGAAGTACTCAAAAAGGAGAAGAACATGCCTAGGTAGGTAGAGCGAGACACACAGGCCTCATCCACTTACCAGACATGTCTTCCTGTTTCCATGAAGGATTTCAAAGAAAACTTGAGTTATACTACAGATGGGTATTACTGACGCTCGGGGAATGGCTCATTATTTTTCTCCTCCAACTCAAAGATGAACCAGATAGGTCAGCACTTTGAAAATCCAGAAGCTCGTCAGTGTTGTTTCTGTTGTTGTTATTAGTTTGCTTTTTATTTGGAAATATAGATTCACAGGAAGTTGCAAGATTAGTACAGAGAGGTACGTTTCCCCTTCGCCTAGGTGTTTCTTTTTAACCAGGGTTTAGATAAAGATTGCTGGGTTTCTCAGATGGAGAGATATACCATGTTCTTGGAGTGGAAGGATCAACACTGTGAAAATGACTATAATACCCAAAGCAATCTACAGATTCAATGCAATCCCTATCAAACTACCAATGGCATTTTTCACAGAACTAGAACAAAAGAATTTCACAATTTGTATGGAAACACAAAAGACCCCGAATAGCCAAAGTAATCTTGAGAAAGAAAAACGGAGCTGGAGGATTCAGGTTCCTGGACTTCAGACTATACTACAAAGCTACAGTCATCAAGACAGTATGGCACTGGCACAAAAACAGAAATACAGATCAGTGGAACAGGATAGAAAGCCCAGAGATAAACCCACATATATATGGTCACCTCATTTTTGATAAATGAGGCAAGAATGTACAATGGAGAAAAGACAGCCTCTTCAATAAGTGATGCTGGGAAAACTGGACAGCTACAGGTAAAAGAATGAAATCAGAACACTCCCTAACACCATACACACAAAAAAACTCAAAATGGATTAAAGACCTAAATGTAAGGCCAAGACACTACAAAACTCTTAGAGGAAAATACAGGCAGAACACTCTATGACATAAATCACAGCAAGACCTTTTTTGACCCATCTCCTAGAGAAGTGGAAATGAAAACAAAAAAAAACAAATGGGACCTAATGAAACTTAAAAGCTTTTGCACGGCAAAGGAAAATATAAACCAGACAAAAAGACAACCCTCAGAATGGGGGAAAATATTTGCAAACGAAGCAACAGACAAAGGATTAATCTCCAAAATATATAAGCAGTTCATGCAGCTCAATATCAAAAAAGCAAACAACCCAATCCAAAAATGGGCAGAAGACCTAAACAGACATTTCTCCAAAGAAGATACACAGATTGCCAACAAACACATGAAAGAATGCTCAACATCACTAATTATTAGAGAAATGCAAATCAAACCTACAATGAGGTATCACCTCACACCAGTCAGAATGGCCATCATCAAAAAATCTACAAACAATAAATGCTGGAGAGGGTGTGGAGAAAAGGGAACCCTCTTGCACTGTTGGTGGGAATGTAAATTGATACAGCCACTATGGAGAACAGTATGGAGGTTCCTTAAAAAACTACAAATAGAACTACCATATGACCCAGCAATCCCACTACTGGGCATATACCTTGAGAAAACCATAATTCAAAAAGAGTCATGTACCACAATGTTCACTGCAGCTCTATTTACAATAGCCAGGACATGGAAGCAACCTAAGTGTCCATCAACAGATGAATGGATAAAGAAGATGTGGCACATATATATATAATGGAATATTACTCAGCCACGAAAAGAAGCGAAACTGAGTTATTTGTAGTCAGGGGGATGAACCCAGAATCTGTCATACAGAGTGAAGTAAGTCACAAAGAGAAAAACAAATACCATATGCTAACACATATATATGGAATCTAAAAAAAGAAAAATGGTTATGAAGAACCTAGGGGCAGGACAGGAATAGAGACGCAGATGTAGAGAATGGACTTGAGGACACGGGGAGGGGGAAGGGTAAGCTGGGACCGAAGTGAAAGAGCGTCAAGGACATGTATACACTACCAAATTTAAAATAGATAGCTAGTGGGAAGCAGCCACATAGCACAGGGAGATCCGTTTGGTGCTTTGTGACCACCTAGAGGGGTGGTATAGGGAGGGTGGGAGGGAGATGCAAGAGGGAGGAGATACGAGGATATATGTATACGTATAGCTGATTCACTTTGTTATAAAGCAGAAACTAACACACCATTGTAAAGCAATTATACTCCAATAAAGATGTTTAAAAAAAAAAAATCCACCTTCCAATGCAGGAGATGCGGGTTCGATCCCTGGTCAGGGAACTAAGATCCCACATGCCACAGGAAAACTAAGCCCGTGCGCTGCAACTAGAGAGAAGCCATCGCACCACAACTAGAGAGGAGCCTGCACGCCACAACAAAAGATCCCACGTGCCACAACTAAGACCCGATGTAGCCAAAAATAAATAAAATAAAATAAAACGGGGAGTTTCATACAAAGCAGAAGGACAAGGACCTCCAGATAAGTAGAAAAATCTGGCAACAGGATCTTCATTCCTATGCAGTAGCCGTGGGCTGGAGCCGATGCCCCGTGCCCTCTGGCTTGCCCCACCCTCCCCTGATACTGGGCATTCCTTCATTCCGTCTGCCAGCCTCTATGTGTTACACTTAATTTGGGAGATGGGGCTCGAGGAGGAGACAGGAGCGAAAAGAAGAATCTTAGAAAGGGCAGACGGACTGAAGAGGAGGCTGAGGAAAAGCGAGTAGGAGAAGGAGAGGCATCCACAGGGGCCCAGAGGCTGGAAGCTGATCCCAGGAAGGCTGCCCCAGGAGGAGGCAGGGGCTGTCATCCCAAGAAGAATCAGTAGCTGAACCTGGGAAAGGAAATCCTTGTTTCATTGCCTGAGTTCATTGTCTGCTCCCTGACACAGAGCCCCTAAATCCCCTGAAATTTCCTGGGTGACAGGAGTATCTTTTGTTCCAATGAGGTGACTCTGAGTGGTCACCAGAAAGACCAAGCCGTGGTTAGAAGCTTGGGATCTTCAATCTCACCTCCCACCCTTCAGGAAGGGGAGGGGGTTGGAGACGGAGTTAATGATCCATCATCCCTACTTGATGAAGCCTCCATAAAAATCCCAAAATTTTAAAAAATTCCAGGTTGGCACACCCCAACTCCGTGGGGACGGAGACTCCTGCGCTCAGGATCCTTCCAGACCTTGCCCTATGTGTCTCTTCATCTGACTGTTCATCTGTTATCTTTTATCATACCATTCGTTAAATCATAAGCTGGTAAAAAAAAAAAAACAGAACAAAAAAACATTGCTGGGTTTTTGATCACTCTTCATCATGACCACATGTCTCCTCCTCTCCCACTCCTGCAATCCGGGATTCCATCGGCCAAGACCAGGACTCGTGCCTCTTCTACACACTTCTGTCTTTTAGGAAAGCTCAGTTCCCTCCTCACGCAGCGGGGGCTCAGGGCCTTGCCATCCGGTTAAAGGAGACGTAAGTCTCAAACTTCACGCACGTCACAGAGGTCAGAGCACCAACATTCTCAAACTCAACTGTGAGTCAGAAATCCCCTGGAAGGCTTGCTAACACACAGAAGGCAGGCCCCACCCCCCTAGCATAGGTCTGATTCAGAGAATCTGCATTTCCAGTGAGTTCCCAGGTGATGCTGGTGGTCTGACCACATTTTGAGAACCGCTGTCAGAGCCAAAGCTTTCTGTAATTGGTAGGAACCATACCACCTTGTGGCTGGACTAGAATTAAATAAGGGGGCCTGCAGGCGTGGGCGGATCTGGCCATCCACTTTCAAATGACTCTTGCTGAAAATGCTATTCTCATCATCTACACTCGGGGACAAAAGCCAGGCCTGGTCTCAAAGCCCGATGTTTTCCCCCTCAGGCCAAAGGTGAAAGATTAAATATGGCTGTCCCTCAGGGAACCTGCCTCCTCTAAACCAACACAGACACATTTTCAAAGCCAGAAATTCAGAAGGAATAACCTCTACGTGTTCTGTTAGCAGTGTAATCCAGAATAATGACAGACTGCCTTGCTTATGAAAGTCTCGGTCTTTCCACGTGTCCTGGAGAACCTCTGTAAAAAGGACAAACACCTCTGGGCTCTTTCCACTTTGCAGGAAGAGGAAGCCTCTTTTTGGTGCTGGCTTCCCAGGTCTTGGCACCTGCAGGCCACACCAGCCTGAGGCACCCTTTGCTTCGGCCCTGGGAAGAATGCAGAGACCCACACCGGCCCCTGTGTCCGCGAGTCGGCACTCTGGGAATGGGGGGTCAGGCCGTGCTTTCCCAGCGAGCAGCCAGGGTGCGACGGTGGGCCCATGCTGAGTGCTGGCTGCCGCCGCTTGTCTGCAGCTTCGGCGAAAAAAGTAGCGCTAAGTCCCACATCAAAGGCATCAATCTGTTGTACTAATTCCTTGTTGAAATATGCATAAGGCTGCTTAACTACACTGATTTGCGCTCCCAAAAGGCCATCCCGCAATTCAGTTTCAAGATACCTTACTCCCTCTGTGTCAGGTTTATGAATGAACCACCAGTCAAAACAGAGCCACCAGCCACCACTTCGTTTAGACCAACATCCGCTGTCGGAGTACTCGTAACTTCTAAACGTTGGGCTGCCACCCAGAAGCCAGGGACCAAAGGGGCCAAGACCCAATTCTTCACTTCGAGGTATCAAATCAGCCTGCCTGCCTGTGGCCTCTTGTCAGCTTCCCCAGAGTGTCCTGTCTTCCCCTGCAGAGCCCCTGAGCTGTGCACAGATGCCATCTGCAGCTGTGGTCACAGTGCCCGGTGAGGATGGGGCGCAGTCGGCAGGCACCTCGGGGTCTGCATTATCACTCTGCCCTCTGGCTTCATTACAGGATTGTGACAACCGTGGACTTGGAAAAAGCTAGAACAGGGAGAACCTTAGAGACACTTGAATTAACAGAAAAAAGTACAGAGGTGCGAGATGTAGGTCAAAACAAGAGGTGATGTGGGTCATGCTGGGACCAGGCTGCAGTTAATTAACAGAAGCTCATCCATCAGCTCCAATATTAATTAGGTTAGTCAGAGCCTCTGAGCCCCGCACAGCACAGGCTCCCAGAGACCAGGCGAGAAGGGTACTCTTCCAGGGTTTCCTCCACTCCAAACCTATCTTCATAAGATACTTAACGAAATTTTAAGAGTCAAATGGAACTTGTGACAATAAAAACATACAATCTGGGTCCAGCATGGTGACAGACACAAAGAGCCCTGCCCTTCACTTCTCCGCACCCTTACAAATCAGCTCTTCCCCAGGACCCACCGAGGATTTCTCTTCGCTCATTCAGGTTAGCAGGAGCGTGAGAATCTGTAATGGGCGAGAAAAACGTCACTCAGGTCCCCGGAAGGGCTGGAAAATGGGAATGACTCTCCACTTTCCCCTGCAGGTTTCAAGTACCAAGCAGAATGGAAAGGTCTCCTCTTGGAGTTTGGAAAGCACAGAGGGGGAGCCCCACACCGAGTAATGTTTACGTCAGCATTTCTCTCACCACCACGCTCCAAAGGCTGTGTTTGCTCACAGCCTGCAAAGGCCCAGGACGGCCCATGTGTGTGAAGGGGCGGGGGAGGCAGTTCGGGGGCACCACTCCTCCGTAACTCCTGTGTTTCCCTGGCCAAGTTCTCTTTACACAGAGGCATCGCACCCCCTCCCCCCGCTAAGGAACACAGCACATGGCTTGCAGGGCTGCCACAACCTGGCTCAAGTCCCGGCTGTGTGACCTTGAGCGTTTCAGTTGACTACACTGGACTTTCAGCTTCCATGTCTGTCAGCGGGAGGACCGCGTCTACTCACAGGGCTTCTGGGAGGCTAGCAAGAGAGATTAGGCACACGAAGCCCACCAGGGTCAAGCACACAGCGAGCGCTCAAACATTTGTTGCTATGGTTTCATTTTTAGAAGTGTCTCTGGGAAATAATACAGGTGCATGTGCGGCCACAGAACCACAGAGTGAGGGGAGAGGCCTGGTTTCAAGGGCACGCAAAGACACCCTAAATCGGCCTTTTCTGTAAATCAACGCGGAAGCATTCTACTCACCCCATGGGTTTAATATCTAAAAAGCAGAAAGTTGAATAACTTGCACTTTAAAGTGTTTATGGTTATGCTGTTTTACCAACTGATTGCTAATGAAACATCCAAACAGTATTAAGCACTTGCTAGATGCTAGCGATTACAAAAATGCATGAATGTGGGGTTGGGGAGAGATGCATAGGCAGAGCACAGAAGATTTTTAGGGCAATAAAAATACTCTGTATGATATTATAGTGATGGTTCTATGTCATTATACATTTGTCCAAACCCACAGAATGTACATCAAGAGTGAATCGTAAGGTAAACTGTGGACTTTGGATGATTATGACGGATCAATGTAGGTTCATCATTGGTTTAAAAAAAAAAAAAAGTACCATCCTGGTAGGTGATGTTGATAATGGGGGAGCTATGCGTGTCGGGGGCTGGGGAGCAGGGCAGAGGGTATACGGGAAATCCCTGTGCCTCCCTCTCAAGTTCGTTGTAAACCTAAAACAGCTCTAAAAAAACCAGTCTTTTAAAAAAACAAAAACAAAGATGAATGAATGCCACATGGCCCCGACCATAAAGAGGTGACAATTCTGACAACTAGAGAAACAGGATTTTCAAGTCTTCTCCAATCTTCGTATAGTAAGAGAAAGCTACCAGGTCATGTGTTCTTCAGCTTTCTAATCGGGGGGATATATCCCTGACCCAGAGGGCACATTGCACTTTGATCACAGATCTGACCCCTAGGAGTTCGATGAGTTTTAGTTCTCTAGCTGCTGGATAAAGATAATGTTGGACCCAGGAAGAATGTGAGAGCCTAACAAAAGTGCTCTGATATCCCCTGAGAAAGGCGCCATAGTATTTTTTTTAGACTCATGATCATGATTCTGATAACAGAGGTGCTTCCCCCAACAGCACAAAAGCTAAAACTGAAACAAAGCAAGAAGATCAACATGGCCGTGTAGCAATAATATGCAAATCTATAAGTTATTTTCTACAGCGATGAAAAATAATTTGCTCCTTAATCTACATTTTCACTGCTCCCTATCTATATACCTTGATGATAATTCTCATTACACTGTTACCATAGTTATATGATTGCATATAACATCCTTTCTAGAAAGTGAGTTCCAGTTACTTTTTTTTTGTATAACCCATATCTGCATTAGATATCTGCACAAAAAATATCTGCTCAACTGATGTGGTGCCTATGTCTCTTATGACTTAAATATAAATTCTCAAGGCCAAGATGGCTGAATTACTGGAATTCGGGCAAGTCCAGATACATGCCATACCCTGTATCTATTTTTGCTTCTCAACATAAAAATAGTTCAGATGGTTTGTTTTCAATTGTGAGACAGAATTCTGCCTGCAGTGACTTAAGCAGCCAAGTTATACTGAAAGTGGCCTGGAACAAAAAGAGCGTGGGGAGTGGAGGTGGGGGAAGGGAACAAGTGGACTCCGGAAAAGCCGACTTAGCCACACACTTCCCATCTGTGTGTGAAAACGTAAAACCAAAAATGCATTCCATTGGCGAGAACGGGAACCACAGAGGGGCCATGCAGGCCAGGCTACCAGCATTCCCTCACACGTACCCTACTGCAAAGACACATCTACCTTTGGGTGAGGTGGAGAGATGGAACCAAGTCCGAAAGGACACAGAATTAGGCCAAAATGATTTTCGTAGAGGCAGTGAATGGCCTGGTTTCCAGCAAACAACGGGGCTGGGACATGGAGAGCCACTCAAAGACACCCTCGTGAGTCTCCAAAGATTGATGTCCTCATCACCGGGCTCTGACAGCTCAGTGAGATGGGGCCCAGTAACAGTGGACCAGGTGAGAGCTTCAGTGTTCTGATGCCCCACCAAGAAAGGCTGTGTGGTACTATCTAACCTTCACGGAAGAAGGCTGGGGGGCCCATGGGAACTCTGTCCAGGCTCCTGGCCCACGCTCTCTCCACCAGCCAGAGACCAGGAACATCCTTGCAAGCTATGAGCATTCTGACCTTAGAAATTAATGTTTTCCAAGATTCTACACTACTGTACAACTGTCCCTCCTCCAATCATATTTTTAAGAAGTTCCAGAACTGCAAGAACCCATTTAGTCCAAACCTGCCACTTGACAGATTGTGAAACTGAGGTCCAGAGACCAAGTTCGCGTGGCTTATCTCAGTGGCAGGACTGGGCCCTGAGCCCTGGGCTTCTGCCTTCTCATAGTGCAGAGTGCTTCCTCTCAGCACATGCCTTGTCTTGTCTTTATGGACTCAGTCTTTTCAAAAAAGTATTGTTTCAGCCCCTTTCCTTTCTGCGCCACAGATTACATTTCAGGCACTCAGTTCCCCATACAATGGCATCGCTACTTATACAGAGCTGTAAACAACAGGGAGAAGAGGGGGAGGGGCTGGTAATAGATTTCCACAAGGATGTTCCTGACCTGCTTTTTTTCAACCTCAGTAATTAGAAAGGCAGTGGGTCTGCAGGAATTATTCATACGCAGCAAGAGCCATACACTATACATTTATGTTAAACATGTCAAACCCGATTGAAATCATGCCTGCCAGCACCATATTCCATAAACACACTTTTCCCTAACAGTTGCCCAGACCTTGCCAGCCCATTAAGACGTCCCTTAATAGCAGTCTTCCATAGATTCAGATCAGGGATGCTCCGCTGCACTAATTGCTGTGTGTTAGGTGAGCATCATGGATTTAAAAAAAATTAATAAAATAAAATCCCTTCAAGCTATTCCCCTAGAAAAGCAGTGCTCAAACTACAATTCCAAACCAAAATTTTACAAAAATACAAACATGGACATCAGTTAGGGATTTCTGAAGCATTATGCTGTCATTTTAAGTTGGAGTGTTGCCCCATCTTTGTTTGTTTTTTAAAATCCCAATATCCCCCAGGTCATCTTGTCTCAAATTAGCTTAACTAGACCCAGCCTAGTGCTCCGTGGCTAGAAACCATGGCGGCTACAGGATTTAAATAACCATCTTGCTATGATTATTTGCCAAGGGTTCAATTTTTTCCCCTAATTATTGGTGATAAAGCATTACATTAATTGTATATCACTTAATTTATAGCAATTAATGATTGATTGGATAATCACTGCATTAATTATCACTGCTGACACTGGGGGCTCTTCAATCTACAACACACACTTTTAAATCCACACTGCTAAAAGAGAACAAGCGATCGCTTTCACATTTTAAAAGAGAAAACCGCAAAGTTGGATGGTGGAAATGGCTGTGCATTAAGGAAGAGGCTTTGAATCAAAGACCCTTTCCGCACCCTCTGGTGGCCCACAGGAGCACTTTACACTTGCCTTGAGTAGACGTGACCCGAGGTGTCTACTAAGGACTCGTCCATGTGCCACCACGTCCCATCGTGGAACCCAGGCTGCGGCTGGTGGGTGTCACTTGTCTGTGTTCCAAGGCTCCCAGGGGCCAAGGTCATTGGCTAACTGGTGGGCTTCCTGACTCCAAATATAGAGAGTTCTTTCCACTTCACCAACCTGCTTTCAGACTGAGCATGACGCTGCCTTACTACGAGTCATGTTCGTGGCTGACAGTCCCACTCGTTTCGAACATACAGGTGGCAGTCGTGTTACTGTTTTCCACTGCACAACTTTAGGAGGG